TACACGAGATTTTGCTTTACGATCATCATTGTTACTTCTACACAGAGCAAAGAAAAACAGCACATGAATATGAATGGTCAACTTATTTATTGAAATATCCAATCAAATTTTTGAGAATCATTTTAATTAAATTAAAAGTTTTTTTTTCGTTGTCAAGAGCGTAACTTATGAAAGGTGTGTGAGATATGACGCCCTTTCCCGTTTCTGAGGTTCGTTCACGTAATGTCCCCCCTCCCCTGCCATTCTATCTCCCGTGCTGAGTTATCCCCTCTGTATTTATTAAAGATATCTACATTGTTTTTTTCTATTTACCCATTAAACCAACTTCGACGATTATGATAATCGATTGAAGTTGCATCATTTATATTTCCATTGTTTGTTGGATGCATTATATATTCATCATTATTTCCACCTTCAACCATAATCATATGTGAATCATAAAAAAATTGTGACGGTACCATTGGTTGTGAAGGAGGAGGATAATCAAATGGTTCACCTATTTGTTGTTGTTGTTGTTGTTGTGGATGCCACCAAGACGCCATCGTTTTTCTTTAGTAAACGTTTGTTTGTTTGAAAAAAAAAAAGAAACTCAAAGGATAAAAGAAAAACAGAGAGAGAGAGAGAGAGAGAAAGAGAGGGAGGGAGAAAAGAATCATTTACTTTCTCTTCTCAATATTTGCCTGTTCTTTTTTCTCTTTCGCTGTTGGTTTTTTTACTATAGAAATGCCTTCCATGTTATAGAAGAAGAAAAAATGAGAGATGTGACTATAAAAGAAAAGCATATAAACAGACAAGATTTGAGCAAAAGAGAACCGCCTGTTATTAATCGTGTGTAGAAGAGAGAATTAAAAGAATAAATCTGATTTGCTCCATGGGTGGCACTAGTATCGGATATTGTTCTATATGGATGTGCAACTAACCAGAGAGAGAGAGGGAAGGAGAAAGCATCATCGGACAATTAGAGGCCTCTTTATCATCTTGTCTGCGCGTTATCGCTGCGACGTGACTTTCGTACGAAAAATGCCTTTGAGTCTGGTTTATATGGACGAATGTCAAAAATCAGAATAAGAAAAGAGAACAAGGCAGAGAGAGAGAGAAAAACCATTGATAATAAGCAAATGAGATAGTGTAAAAAAGAAAATTTCCATGAAATATTATTCTGTTTAGTTTTAATTTGATTCATACCTGAAATTCAATAGATAATGTCGATCAACAATCATACTTTTACTATGTCGAGATCTGTGTATATATACATATGTATGTTTCTCTTTTTCTCTCTTATCTCATCATCATCATCAATAAAAATGACACCAATAGTTTTGTCTCCTACTCACTTTCTATATGTGTCGGCACATTGAATTCTCTTGGGTAAAGCGAGAGAGAGAAAATGTTAATCATTTTTCACTTTACTAAGTTACTCTTTACTCATTGATATATTATTATTTCATTCAAATGAAGTCTTTTTAAATGAAAAATAATATTATTCAAAATGAAATTTATTCGATCTAATATATATATAGATGAAAATATTGCAGAACGAAAATTCTTTTCTAAGTTCAGTTGTAAATAAGATTAATGGTAACAACAACAACACCAGCAAAAAAAAGATATTCATCATTTAATTTTGCATAGGCCTTCATATATTTGCAATAAATTCAAAAGTATTTGTTGCTTTGATCGCAATTGTATATTTAATTGAACAAGAGAACAAAATTACAATATGAAACACTTCATTAGATCAAATCTTTCTTTTTCCTATAGAATCGACAGCGTGTAGATTTGATTACTCTATCTCTTTCAGGCGACAACTCATCAGGGGGTACGATAGCAAAAATGGTGTAACGAAATAAAAAGTATATATATATATATGTGTGTGTGAGGAAGGAAAAGAGGGTGGAGCGCAACGACAACGACAACGACAACGTATTGATCTTCTCTTTGTGTTTCATCTTGTCTATTACAACTACTACTGTGTGATGCTACATTTAATCAATGCAAATACTATAGTAGTGATGGTGGTCAAATTTGCATGTGTGAATTCATTCTTCGTCACTTGTTCTACGACCGGACGGATACGGACAAATGCAACATCCGTTTGATGATGTTGTTGCTTGATTTTTTTCTTTCTGTCTATCATGAATTTAATGAATACAATATAGATATATTTATATATCAACTTGCTGATTTGCGCATCATTGACAATGACAAGCAAAACAGATCATTTAAATTTAAGCTTTTAATATCTTTTTTTTTTTTTTTATTAAAGTTTTAGCTTTGAAATTACTTGAATGAATCAATTTTTTTTTATTTGTACAGTAACATGAAACAATTATCAATTGATTTGCTGCATATATATATATATATCATCTAATTCTTGGACAAACCACGCCTATTTAACTAAATTATTTTAACACCCTTTCTGATAAGAAATAAAAGAAATATTGGACATCCATTGAATGACACACATATTTATAGAAGAGAATACATCTTTAACATTAAATTGACTAGAATGTTGAGTCTATCTATTTATCTATCTATCTTTATGCTCTACTGCGAGATGATGGGGCAATGAAGAAAAAAAAGTGATGGATGATCTATGCCGTCTAATGACTTTTGGTCGCCCAAGCTATAAGCGCATCTGCATCAATTCGAACATTAATTCTGTCTCTGCAATGAATCGATGACGATAAGCAGGACGATATATATATATAAAGAACAACACGGCAATGTTGCCGGTATTCGATTGAGAAGAGACCGACTCAAGCGCGCGATTGATTTTTCCGAAGTGGCTCGTTAACCCAATGCGGAACGATCAAGATCGTCAATTCTTTTCTTTCATGTTGTTTTTCTCTCCTACCTATCATTCATATGTATATATATGTATCAGTTAAGTTATACTTTGGAGAGACATTGCACTATGTATCACTATCATTGCTTATATATATATGTATACTCATAGAACATGATGATGAATGGTCTTTACTCCTCCTCTTTCAATGTATGTTTATATTAGGTGAAACAAAAAAAAAGAAAGAATAACAGAATCTGTCAGTTAGTCAAGTCAAATGAAATATTTTATTCAGATAACACGTCTTGTATATTAAATGATAAAGAAAAAAAAAACATCTATTATTATTTATAGTAAAAGATTCGAAGATAAATTGAATCAATTTAGCTTTGTATTATTTCATTTTTAAGAAATTCTATCCCAATTACATTATCAATAAAGACTCTAGAGATAGTTCAAACGAATTCTATTGATTATTATAAATGATAACAAAAATCTGATAATGAATTTGTTACATATTGGTTTTTTTTATTTGACAAATATGAATAATTTTTTCAATTATTAATACAGGAAGATCTTAAAATTATAGTAACATTCATTAATGACTTTGAACAGATGTCTGATTGTTGTTGTTTTTTTTTTTTTTGCCAATATATATGTAGACATACATACAAACATTGTAAAGAATACAACGATTGAATTGACAGATAGAAGAAAGAAATCTTTACTAATGAATAGAAATCATTAATCGTTTTAAAATCGATTGTCTATTAATCATTTCTAACTTTCTTACGAAAGTTAAAATATATCGAAATAATTTATTTTTCTCTCAATGATATTTACGTATCTAACATAAAAAAAGACAAAAATATTTTATCAATTTGATACATCTTCATAAATGTCTTTTGATCTACTAACAAAGATTAATTTCTTTAAATGACTCAGAATTTATCATATAATCAATCTGGAGCTTCTACAAGATGAAATAAACATTCCTAGAAAAAATAATTTTGTCGTTCAAAGTGACGATATTGTTTATTAGATCTGAACCAAATAAATATTAATTCATTTGATTCAAATCATATGCATTTGTATTGAAAATTTTGTTATATTGCACATTTATTGGCAAACGTGAAGTAGACATAAAACATTGTACATATATTTTTTTTCTCTTGAGATTATCGAAGAATTCATTAGTAGTAGATCTGAATAAGATTCATTGCTTTGCAGACAGATAAATAATGCTTTAACTAACATTATATACCTGATCATTAGAGGTTATTGGATTCGGAACGAATCCGTCGGGGTCCAAGTCCGAAAACGAATCAATGAGTCATATTCTGACAGTAGCAGCCAATTATGACTTGTTTTATTAAAAGATCATTGTCAAAATTATTAGAGATATATATTAAGGGTGCTACTAGCAGAATTCAGAACGATTATTATACTCAAACTAAAAAATTTCGTTCAGATCAGGAGTACTGTTCAAGCTTAGATCTGGATCCTAATAAGTTGGATCAACCGAATTCGAGTCTGAAAATGCTGAACCCAATAAGCTCTACTAATAGCTAGAACAAAATTATCTTGATTTTTCGACAAGAGTGAGACAACATTTTATGAAGAAATCTTAGAAATCTCTTCACAACAAAAAAAGAGTTATTCTTCAAATATATTTTGAAGTAGCTAAAATTCAAAAGTATTAATTTATCAGTAAATTTCAATTCTATAGAAAGATATGGCAAAGTGAAGGGAACAATCATACTTTCGAAATACGAAAAATCTGATTTTCAAAGCTCATCTACAGTAGTATAGATTTAATTTTTGTTTAATTTCATTGTAAAAAAAATTGAAATAAATTTCCCAAAGTATAACTGACGATAATCAGCCTTTTGCTGCTCTTCTCATAAATCTACGAATGTTATGCAATGCATTTCAAAATCGAGACATATCTTCTTATTTGTAACGACATCTTTTTACAGTTTTTTTTCATTTGATTTGTATAAATACCAATGAGATTATTAAAAAGTTATTATTATTGTTGAATGAGTTTTTCGGTTCTGTGATAGTACTTCGTCACACTCAATTAGAACGTAGTCAGTCGGCGAGAATACGAGTATGCTTAAACAGAAGTTTTAGAAAAAAAACACTCTTCGTATTTATTATTGTAGATATTCATTATTGATTAACCGCAAAAAACAGGTTACCGGAAATAATGACAAGTTTCCTACAAAGATTTTATGATAATGTGACACGAAAAAAAACTTATGATACTGATTCATTGCATACTTCGCAATTAAAACGATGTTTAACTGTATTTGATCTTACTATTTTGGGTATGATAAAACAAAATAAAAAACAAGAGAATTATTATTTTTTCTATAATATTTTTATTATTCTAGGTATTGGATCAACATTAGGCACAGGAACATATATTTTAACAGGTCAAGTGGCTCATGAAACAGCAGGACCATCAGTAATACTTAGTTTTCTGATTGCAGCTATTGCATCAATTCTTGCTGGTAACAATCAATCATTTATACATATTTTTTCATTTATTTTTGTTTTTCAGGTGTCTGTTATGCTGAATTTGGTACCCGAGCACCGCGTGCAGGTAGTGCGTATACATATACATATGTTAGTGTCGGCGAAATTATGGCATTTATTATCGGTATGAATATTTGTTGATTTAGATCTTTTTAGTTGAATTTTTTTATATTTAGGCTGGAATATGATTCTTGAATATGTAATAGGTATGTTGATTCTCATGATATAAATAATTAAAAATTTTAAACACTTCTTAACGGGACCCCTCCCCTTTCGAAGGTTTTTTAAGAACGGCTTGGCGAAAATTTTTGAAACTTTTAGGGTAAATTGATGTCGATGAATAGAATAAAATTTGCCATAGACTCAAAATTCCGAATGCTTCTGGAAGATCTTGGGAGATCAAGAGTCAAAAATGACCTGAAATTTTCCTCTCACAAACATCCGCACTAGGTTTTTTAGAGTTGAAATATTTTCTGTAGCAACTAGGAACAAATCTAAGTGCGTTCTTTTTTAAATAATGTTCCTGAGGCTCAGGAAAAGCAAAACATTGGAAGCACTATCAAAAATCCATTAAAAAAAGAAAAATTTTTTCTTCGGATGGCTGTAATTTTGTAAAACTTGATAGGTAAAACATTTTCAACAGAGAAAAAAACCACGCACTCCAATTCGACCGAAGTACCCTATTAAAAAAGTTTGAGTCTAATCAACCCATTTTAAGTTTTTTTCCGAGGTTTTTACCTAGAAATAGGTGGTATTTCCTTCTGAAAATGTGCTCATTAGATAGAGAGCATTTAAATCTACATATCAAACGTAAAAAATGAAAATTTTGGGTCGGGGAAGGGGGGAGAGATGAGAGTTTCCTTAAATACAAACACTTGTCTATTTTTAAGGTTTTGATTGAATGAAATTTATAAATTTGAGTATTAATATTTCAGAATTTGAGTAATCTGAAGATAATGTTTGACATGTCTCGAAAAATAATCTAATACATAATTAAATAAATCATCGATAGAAACTTGCTATCAAAAAGCTCACTGTAATTTTCATTATTTTTTGTTTTCTATCCATTCCTTACTTCTCTAATATTTCAAATATTCAGATATATTACAATAGAAATCTTGAGTGTATTATTTCTGAAAAAAAAAATTTTTTGTAATGAATTAACATTTAAATGATAAATTTAATTTTTCTAATTAATCGTTAATATTTACAGATAATTAATTTTGAGAAAAAAAAGATTAAATTCTTTTTTTGTTTTTATATTCTTTCATAACTAAATTCTATATCAAATTTCATAATCTATAATCAGGTTTTTTTTTTTGAGACGACTATAATTAAAGACAATAACAAGATTTTATTCTTTTTTAGGCGCAGCTAGTACGGCACGAGCATTAAGTGCTTATTTTGATTCGCTTATTAATTTTGCAATGAAAGATTATTTTACTAAACATTTTCCATTACGTTCCGAAACTTTTGCACCATATGCTGATTTATTTGCAATGACTTTATGTCTTGTAATAACCGGTAGGTGAAGCTATAGAAAAAAACTTATTAATGAAAATTTTCTTAAACATAAACAAAATTTTTTCTTAGTACTTTTAATCGTCGGTATTAAAGAATCAGCTGTATTGAATAATATATTTACATTTGTCAATCTAATTGTTATTGCACTTGTTGTCGTTGTTGGTGTGACAAAAATTCATGTAGATAATTGGAAAATCTCACCAGATGAAGTAAATGAAGTCTTTTTTGTTTTTCAATTGAAATTTGTTTGTTTTTTTCTTTTTAAAATTAATTAGATACAAAATTTAACTAATACTACATATATTGTTGGTAAAGGTGGTTTTTTTCCATTTGGTATTGAAGGAACCTTAGCTGGCGCAGCAACATGTTTTTATGCTTTTGTTGGTTTTGATCTTGTTGCTACAACAGGTTAATGGCATTTTTTATTTTTTTATATGAATTATAATGTTTTACTTTTTCAGGTGAAGAAAGTAAAAATCCACAACGAGCGATTCCAATGTCAATTTGTTTAACATTAATCGTATGTTCAGTAATTTATTGTTCTGTATCAATTGTAATAACATTGATGGTAAGTAGAATATTCATATATTTACGTAATAAGATTATTCAAAAATATATCATACTATTTTTGCAAGTTTGACATATCGACCATAAATCCTTAGGGGACGTACTTGAATGATTTTCTTATTGACAAAAAAACTTAACATATAACAATTTATTGTAGAACTTTCAACAGAAATTTTCTTATCATTAATTTATAATATTACACATGTTGAAAAAATATAAATGAAAATTATAGAAAAAGACAGAATTGTGTCAGCCTTCTTGAATTTTTTTCCATTGAATACCTAAATAATTTACATAGAATTGAAAAAACATAGAAAATTGAGAATATCTATTTAGTCAACCTTTACAATAACGAAAAATTTCGAATTTCATATATTTCTTTTGAATACTTAGTTTTATATATAGTTTTAATCTGTATAAACAGATTGGATTAATAACTTCGAATGTTTTTGAAAACACTTTGTCAGTACAGCACTTTTACGGTTGAAATATGGCACTCAGATCTATGCTTAATCCCCATGATTGTAATTCAAAATACATAACATGAAAAATCTCTAGTGGATCATAGTTTTTTTTTTCAAGGATAATTGATCGCCAGAAAAACGATCCTTTATGTATTTCTGCATTTCGAACAGAATTTTTTTGTTTTGTTTTTTATTGACATTCTAGTTTTTGTTTGTTTTGTTACTACTTGTTCGCTGTTGTTTTTTTCCTATACCATTTTTCTTCATGAAACATTATTCCTATTCTAATCATTGGTTTCACTGGGAAATAAACTTGTTATACGTATCGATTTTATCTATAGCTACACTCGACAATCAAATATATATCGCGATATAAGCTCATAAACACTACTGTCAGTTATTAATTCAGATTTATAACTTGATCAAATTGTACTTTTTATGTTGATCATATGATAATTGTCACAAATCAATGCATGACGACCCACCACCCTTGATATCTTGAATACAAATTTTTATCGATGCAAAAAAACAAAAATCACACTATGTTCTAAACATTTACAACCGTGTTTCAATCATTCAAATTTCAACAAAACAGTTGAAACCTTGTCGTTAATGCTGTTCAGCACTTTTTCCTCGTTGCTAACGAATTCTGAGAAAGAAATTTGATGTCTGTCGTTCTCAGTTGTTAAGGTCTATCATGAAGAGTATATCGTAAAACTTCGGTTTAAAACTCATACTCACTATGGTTTTCGTAAAAGTATATGAACATTATTCAATGTGATGCGTTTTGTACTAATGATACTTCGTTGTTTTTATTTTGAAAAAATTATAATACGAAAGATTTATTATTGAAAACAGACAAAAAAGTATATTAATGTAATTGAAGAATACTTTTTCAAAGGAAAATGACTATTTAATAAAAATGCAGTCTTTACTTCAAATGAAATATAAAAAAAGCATTATGAAGACTTTAATCCATATTTCAGCATGACATAAATTTAGCAAACAAAGATATTTATCGATTAAAATTTTAAATAAAATCAAATGAATACTTTAATCAAATATTTTTTTTCTAGGTTCCATATTATCTTTTAAATCCTGATGCCGTTTTTCCGGAAGCATTTCGTTATGTTGAATTACCAGCATTTAAATATATAATTGGCGCTGGTGCATTGACTGGTTTGTTCTATCAAGATTAATTTCTTCATTGAGTGTTGTTGTTTTTTGTTTTTTTCTTTACAGGTATATTTGCTTCATTACTTGGTTCACTTTTACCATTACCACGTGTTTTATATGCTATTGCTGCTGATGGTTTAATATTTCGTTTTATATCTTGGATACATCCACGTTTACAAACACCAATCATTGCAACAATTCTTGGTGGAATTGCTGCAGGTAAAAACTAAAAGAAAAAATATAATTCATTTTTATTTAATTAATTATTCTTTTCTTTTCTTTTTTATTCTTAATAGCACTTATGGCATTAATATTTGATTTAAAAAAATTAGTTGAAATGATGTCAATCGGAACATTACTTGCTTATTCGCTTGTATCTATTTCCGTCTTATTTTTACGGTAAATTTTATTTTTGATTATATGCCAAAAATAATATTTATGTTTTTTTCTGATATTTTAGTTATCAACCTGTTGATGACCCACTTTTACGTTCAATTACACCAGTTAGTGGACCTATATATAAAGAATTATTTCGACCATCGCAAACACATCCAACTGTATTATCAGCAAGAATAACAAAATATTTGATTACGTTGTTAGGTAAGAAAAAGAAAAACAAATTTAGATAATTAAGTGTAAAATAAATTTTTAATATTAGTTCTTAATGGTTTTATTCTTTGTTCAATACAAATATTTGGTTCACATCGTCTTGCAGCTAAAGAAACAGGCATGATAATATTATTTTGTATTTTTATTATTGTGGAAATTATTCTTGTTGCTGCTATTGCACGACAACCAAAAAGTGAAAAATCATCATATTTTGAGGTGAGTTATATACTTTTAGGTTTTCAAAGGGGAAAAATTTAATTTTTTCTAGTCAACATTTCACGAGGTTTGTGTTTTTCGTTGATTTTTTCAGCTTTTGTCTTGTTTCGATATAAAATTAGAAAACTATCTAATAAATTTATTTCTTGTTGTTTTTTTTTTGCAGACTCCTCTCGTACCTTATATACCAGTATTAAGTGTATTGATTAATACCTATTTAATCCTTAAACTCTCACCAGCAACTTGGGTTCGATTTGGTGTATGGATGATTATTGGTAAGATGTCATTTATTTTCAATGACAAAAAAAAATATCGAAAGAAATTTATTGATATTAGGCTTTTTCATCTATGGCTTTTACGGCTTTTGGCATAGTTCACAGCGATTTATCAACGATACTCAACGACTTCTCTCCGGCAGTACATCATCATTGATTAGCTCTTAAAAATCTCTTCTCATGATTATTATTATTTTTTTTCTTGTTGTCTGTAATGATATATTGTTGTATTGTCAGTATGATCACTAGTGTAGGTTAAATTCTAACCTATACTATCATATATTTCAAATTTATTTTATAGTCAAATATTGTTTATTCTCATATTGTATTTATTAATCACTTGTTGTTGTTTATGAATACTTTAAATCTAGTCAATTTTGTTTTCTTTTTGTTTTGTTTTTCTATTTATCGATCATATAAAATTGTGAACATCAAATTTTCTTTTATTTTACACATATAATTATATTTTTGTCGTCGTGTTATTTAAACGAATAAAAAAGAAATATATATGTTTATTTGTTGTAAAAAATGCTCTTTTTCATTAATAATCGACACTTATGGCGGCAATACGAAAGAAGCAGAAAAAAAATCTCAAAATTACATCTCGTCACACTTGAATAATTTTTCTTTTTTTTTCTCATTTATAGACATGAGTACTTTCTTCTATCTGTAGGGCTTTTTTTGCCCTTGTAACTAATAAGTATTTTTTTAATATTATCTGTTCAAGGATAAAATTGGTTGACATCAACATAAAATCTAAACGAGCAAATATTCTACTAATGAGAAATAGTAAATATTATAGGAATTTCTGAATTAAACTAGATTGAAATATAATTTAAGGATTTTTTTTCAAGTGTGATATTAATATAATATCATTCAAATTAAAGCATCTCGTGAATAAAACTAATAAGATAATATAAAGCATTTTGAAGCTCTTCATAGATTATTCTCAGGAGAATCGAAATTTTATCATGCAAATACCTAATGATAATAGATCGTTTGTTTATATTATAGCTGACATAAAACCACAAGAATCTAATATCAAGAAAAGAGAAATTATTGTATTATTACATACATATATATATATACAGGATATCGATAATTTAAATTTTTTTTGTTGGATATTATATAAAAGTAAAATTCTTAATAATAACGAATTATTATTCTTTATTTCAAAAAAAAAAACTGTTCAACAAAAATGATTGTAAAAGAAAAGAATATTTATTAAAAGAACAATACTAAAGATAAAAATAGAACTTATCTTACAAATTATTCAGAATTGATTTCTAATAATAACTAATGTGAACATGAGCCAGACATTGAAAAAAAGAAAATAGAACACTGTACATCATAAACACATCGTTTGTGTAATTACATTATGATTTCATTAATTTAATGAAGAATTTGTATTGAAACACAAATAAAATGATATATAATAACCTCAAAACATTTCATGCATATCAACATGATCATACAAACAAGAATCGTTCATAGATCAGATAATACATTCTCCAATACATAGTTGTGGTTAATATAATTGAATTTATGTGTTCAAGGATATATTTATTCTATTTATATATTTACAAATTTATCTTATTATCATTGATCACTGCAGATTCACATGGTTTTAAACATTAATCATCAAGAAAATCGGTGATTCAATACAAAGTCAGACTCAAGGCTTGTCTACACTCGAAAAGAAAATTCGTTATTGAAAATTGTTTCATTTTATTTAAAAAAATTTGAATCGATTTAAATACTGGCACTATTGCTTACACAAAACAAATTATTAATAATTAGTATTATGTTTTTATTTAAAATAAGATGAACAAAACTATTATCGACGATTTCTGATTCAAATTATTAAATATTGGTGGTCTAAATATTATTTCTTTTACTGTAATAACTTTGAAAAAAAAAGAAAAGAAGAGATAATATATGAACTAAGCATGAATATACTATTCTCTGATTGTCCGAATTTTCTAACTATTTCTTTGTTTCCTTTCTCTCAATTCCATACGCAATATGAATGTCTTTTTACACTAAATCAGAAAAACAATGAGAAAGCGGTAAAATGACAATCATTATGTGTTGTAGAAATCGTAAGAAAGAAAGAAATAGAGAGATTAGACAAATACCAGATAGATATAGATATTCACACATACATACACAATGCATCACAAATAAGCGAGGAAACGAAATCTGCGCAAAATAGTGTTGAAAAAATCCGTATTTTTTAGTAATTTTTGAGAAGCAGAAAAATTGTAAATTGTCAATCGAAAGACTAATAGTTCAAGATTTTTTAGAAGAGAGGTAGACCACCTAGTCCACCTAATCCACCACCTAGTCCACCTAATCCGCCTAGTCCACCTAATCCACCACCTAGTCCACCTAGTCCACCTAGTCCACCTAATCCACCACCTAGTCCACCTAGTCCACCTAATCCACCTAGTCCACCTAATCCACCTAGTCCACCAATGCCCGGAATGCCACCACCATAACCGACAGTCATCATTGGTAATCCTGAAAAGCCTAGACCACCACCCATTCCTCCTAATGGAAGACCACCTCCAAATCCCATTCCTCCTAATGGAAGACCACCTCCAAATCCCATTCCAAAACCACCGCAAGGGTTCCCTCCCCCTAAGGGAACGCCAATATAAATGACAGGTCGTCTTTGACGTCCACGTACTGTAGGAACATAATAGTCAGTCCATGTTGTTACTGTCCAAGGTTGTTCAATGATACCTGGTCTAAAGACATCATATATATTTGAATATTAAACATCAAGCACAATAATCAATATTTACTCACGGGTATGCAGATTGATAAGGATAAGGATAAGGATTTCGAGCTGCTCGATTACCCATTCTAAAAAGAACTTTCTTTACTGAAGAACTAGTCTGTGAAGGATAGACGATCTCGTAATCGAGGCAGACTTTTATATAGCTTTTTTTATACTAGTAGTGATCGTCGGTCTGTGTACAACTGATTGTTATATCTGACGAACAAAAAAAAAGACAAATAAATAGAGATAAAAAAAAACAGAAATGAGTAGTGTTAATATAGATAATATTATATATATGTGTATGAAACAAAAAAAACCAAAAAAGAAAGATACGTGAAAAAGAAGAGAATCCGCATTCGCCTATTGATGTGTGGTAAAAAATTAGATGAGTGAGCGATTGATAGGATGTGGCATTGAAAATCGAATGTAGTATGCAAGCATAAAGAGAGAGAGAGAGAGATACAACAAAACTGGTGCAAAAAAAAAGAAAAAGAATGGGAAGCAATGCAATCGAGGTAAAACAAGGACGACAGCGCGCGGTTACGCGGCCTAAACGTTGTGGTGAGAAGCAATCAAGCGTGGAATAGTCACATCTATACTCGCTTCATTTTCCGATTAGCATATGTAGTAATAATGGTTTGGTATTTATGTTATAAAAATATTAGTAAATAGAAAGCTGGTGATATATACTGTAAATAAAGAGTGAACAAAAAACAGAAAAGCAACAATCGATGAAACAATGTCTAAATGTAGCATTTTCACAACAAAAAAACATATTATTATCAAACTATGAAAAGAATAATAAAGGACAAGCCCTTTTCCAAAATATGTTTATGAAAAAAAAACAAACAAACGTGTATTGTTTAGTTTATCACATCATATTCGGACTAAGACCAGCTTGTACAAAAAATTTATAATTAAAGTTTTGAAGAAAAATATTAAAAAGTTACTTTTTTTACATGTGAAATACGAATATTGTATCAATTATTGAAAAATTTGATATTAATCAATGATGATTAATCAACCTAATACATATTTTTTTCTCCTTATTTTTATATAAACATGTTTAATGTATAGAACGATTAATTTCACAAAAAAAAACACCATGTTGAAATATAGTGATTTTATTGTTGTTTCTTCTAATTAAAACAAAAATCAAAATGTTTATATTATATTTCAAATGACAGCAAAAAAGAAAGCTATATTAAAACAAAGATAACACATGATATAGTCAATATCGTTGATTTTAAACAAAATCTTTTGAAATTTCTATGTAAATGATGAAGAAATTTGAAGTTTTATAGAAATTAAAATTTTATTTAAAAAAATAATAATTTAAATCGTTTTATTGAAAAAAAAACAAAGACTATTAGGCGCTCGTTTACTTTAATACGATTTACAACAACTTTAATTTTCATTTTAAACAAATACTAATGAGTAAATCTGCATGCATGTGTATGTATCTTAATGCGCAATATGTGTTGATTATTTGATGGTGTTATTTTGGCCTTGAAACTAATAAATAGTTATTTTGATAGATAACAAGTCAAATCACAAAAGTTATAATCAATAATTATCAAATTTAAAAAGAACTATCTTTTTCTGCTTTTTAAGCGTACACCAGTACAAGTTCCTTGATTCATTGTCATGTTAATTATTATGAACAGTAACAGTCTTAAGATTATCATTGATTAGTTTAAAATTCACTAAAATAAATGATAGGATATTACTTTTTACTTTCGGACAAATCATATTTATTTTTTTGTTCGTGTTTTTTGTTTGTGAATGTTTAGATGCGGTTTCATTCTAACCATCGATTTTTTGAATAATGATGACTATGCTCACGTAAGTAACACGAAATTTTTTGGCCATGGATATACACATTGTAAACAGAGGGATTTATTATTGTCTCTCTCTTTTACACTACTAACATCACAACGGCCATGGTTGATGAAAAAAACATGTTTTTTTTGTGCATACCACAGTTATCGTTGAAACCTTCTCTTTACGCGTCACTGATTGATGCACGGACGACACAGAGACAAACATAATAAACCAATTGTATTTTGTGAGTATAGTCCTTACAATAAGGGACAAGCGTCGGTGTCCCGTTTTCTAGCAAAAAAGGCTCTCTCTTTTCTCTTTTTCTCTTTTTTTTCTCCCTTTCTCTCATATTGTCTAAGAAGCAAAAGGTGAAACGGCTTACCTATAAAATCAGAAACATTTGTATCAGATCGACTACTTGAGATCGACCATCGTCGTCATCATTTGGATAAAAGTGAGTGAATTGTATAAGATTGAAATTGTGAGCCGTATTTTATCTTTATTCGATAGACATTAACATTATTTCTCTCTTGTTATCATAGAAATCTTACTGTATTTATTCTAGGCACTAGATTAGTTATATATCGACAAATAACGAAAAATGGGAAATAGAGGGGCACGTAATCAACAAATGTATGATCCATATTATTCAGGATTGCCCGCTTATGGAGGCTATTATGATCCTTATTATGAAACTGGTGGATGTAAGCTTTTATAATATTTATTATCTTCCACGTATTACACACATACATTCAACACTCTTTTAGATCCACGCTATACAACAACAACCATCTATCCCAGAGCCCCCATTGCTCCAATCGGTTTAGGTCTTCCTAAAATCCGTGCCATTTTCATGCCACAAATGCAAATGCCAATGGCTATGCCAATGGCTATGCCAATGCCAATGCCTATGCCAATGCCAATGCCTATGCCAATGCCAATGCCAATGCCAATGCCAATGATGCCTGCGCCAATGCCCATGCCCATGCCCATGCCCATGCCCATGCCCATGCCAATGGCTGCACCTATGCCTTGTGCGGCACAAATGCCAATGCCAATGCCAATGCCAATGCCAATGCCAATGCAAATGCCAATGCCAATGCCAATGCAAATGCCCATGCCAATGCCTGCACCGATGCCAATGCAAATGCCAATGCCCATGCCAATGCATGCACCTATGCCTTGTGCGCCACAAATGCCAATGCAAATGCCAATGCAAATGCCAATGCAAATGCCAATGCAAATGCCAATGCAAATGCCAATGCAAATGCCAATGCAAATGCCAATGCCAATGCCTGCACCGATGCCAATGCCATTACCAATGCCCAGTGGCGGTTGTTGTGGTAAGTTTTCACTCGAATTTCAGACTTATTAAAATTAAAACACACTTTTCTTTTTTATTGTAGGTCTCGGCGACTATAGTGGAGCACAGTCATTTGGTGGCTTTGGTGGTGGTACGTCTTTTCTATTATATAAACTAGAAATTTAACGGTCGTGCTTGTTTCTAGGTTATGGAGCTGGTCCATCAATGATGAGCCGTTCATATTCGTTGTAAGCACTTGAGTAGAATAAACGTATACTCTATATACTTGTCACAACGACCTTGTGCATATCATCTTTTAGCCAATGCGTCAAAATCGGTGAACCATAACTGATGTCTTAATTTGTGAATATTCTAAGTACGGTGGTGCTGGTGGCTTGGGATCTTATGGCAGTGAGTATTGCTGTCTAGTCAAAGTATACAAATGTTAAATGATATTTTCTTGAATTTAGACTTTAGTGGTGGATTTCCTGCCGGATTTGGTGGTGGATTCGGTGGTGGATATGGTGGTGGATTTGGTGGTGGATTCGGTGGTGGATATGGTGGTGGATTCGGTGGTGGATATGGTGGTGGATTCGGTGGTGGATCTGTCTGTCCAATAACTGGTGCTCCTCTTGGTAAGTTCTTCAAACTGCTCTCTTGCTTTTGTTTGTCATTGAGCTTTTAATGAGTGATTCATTCTTTTCTCATTTGTTTCAGGTGGTGGCTTCGCATCTATGAGTATGCAACGTCCATTGGCATTACCAGCACCAATTTCAATTCCTCAACCAGTTCCTGTTCCTCATCCAGTTCCTGTTCCAGTTCCTGTTCCTCAACCAGTTCCAGTTCCTGTTCCTCAACCAGTACCTGTTCCTGTTCCTGTACCACAACCATACCCTGTGCCACATCCAGTTCCTCAACCTGTGCCACAGCCGTATCCTGTGCCACAACCATATCCTGTACCGCAACCAATTCATCAACAACCAATGGGTTACCCAGCACCAAGTGCACCTGGACGTTCACTTTGCTGCTGCATCCCAGCTGGTCAATAAAAATTTTAGCTATATCAACCGTTAGACACTTGTTTCTTTTTTTGAAATTTTTTCTTTGTTGTGCTGACACATCTTGCTTTCTTTTTTTCCTGTGCTTCTGGACCCCTGAAAACACCTTAAATTGTCATTCAATAATAGTGCAAGTCGATCCATCAAGTCTTTATTTTGAAAAAACAAACGAGCAAATTGCAAATTACACACACAATTGGATGAACAAGAAAACTTTTTCAACATCATCGATAAACATTTTTGTCTTGGTAGTGAATTAAAATGATTGTTGTAGTATTATTTGAAGCATTTTTGTGCTTCACATTTTATTTCAAATTCAAAACGAAATTATTCGTAACATTTTTTTTGTTTTCTTCTTTATGTGTGTGTTTTTTTGCATTATAGCAGTTATAGTTTTTTTTTTGCGAAGAAAAATTAACGAAAATATATTTCTATTCAATCATTGTCGATTTCTTTAATTCTCACTTTGCCCTAACTACATATATGCAGACACATACAATTGATCTTGTTATTAAAATATTGCACAACTCAATGTAGCATTTTTATTACCACAAGAATCACCTACTACGATGGTGATTACAGTATCTGTCTTTTCTCTTGATGGATGTGTTTTGCTCCCAAGGAAGAAAAATTGGTTGATTGTGTGGTTTTGATAGCTTTCATTCTTATTTGTATGTTTCGTATATAATCATACACCAAAGATAGAAAGGTATTGGTAGAAGAAAAAAAATACATGTTTGTAAGCATAAACTTTTGAGACGCATCACTAATTTTTATGGCTATTACGCAGGGATATATTAATAGTAATGATGATTATAATGATGTGGGTATTTTTTTTCTTATGAATGAGTTATTTAATTTGACAAGATAAATTCGATAAGAAATAGATCGAATGTTTAGATATAAAACAAGACAGACATGTATAAATGACATGGCAAATACAATTTGATAATAAAAAAAAACAAAAATACATCAACGAAAGTTACCCGATGATTTGCTCATTTTAAATCGAAAAATCTATGTTTTTACTTTGACATTTTTTCAGCTCTATAAAAGAAATTTTCGTCAGTGTATACAGTGCAATAGAAAGATATTTAACGTAGAAAGGAAAGAGAGAAAACAACAAATCGATGTTACTCGATTATTTTGTATGTCGTAAAGGATATATCAATGCTCTTCATGTTCGAATGAAATGCATAAATATTATAATTATCAATAATATTCTCAGCATTCTATTGAATAGAAAATATGATTCGATTAAATATAGATTTAATTAGTTGACTTTTTATTATTTTTATTTTTGATACATAATGATGTATACTCAAAAAAAAATTTTGATCTTCAATATTATGATCATCAACTAAATTTAAAATCTCTTTTCGTCTTTTTTATTTCGTGTTAAGAGTAAAATATATTGAAAAAAATATAAATGTGATTAATTATGTTTGAGCAATGTAACATTGTTGATACATCAAGCAAGCCCTATTTATACATATATCAAAGAATCATATACTGAAATACAGAGTACAAAATAAAAATTTTTAAAAGATTTATATACGAATAACACATGTTTAACAAATCGACGTTTTTACGTGATCATGAACGTAGTTCTTATATCACTGTTCATTGTTTTTGTTAACAAAAATAAAATAATGTATATATTTTATTTCTTCCTATACATTCGATTAGTCAACAAACATACAATAACTACAGGCAAGGTCTGTCATTGGAAGCCGTCATTTTAATATGCATCAGATCATCATTGTTGAGTGTGAAAAGATCGACCAAACGGCAATTAGATCAGGTGAAAAAGGAAAAAAAAATCAAGAAAAACAGAAAATTTGACCGTAGGCAAATGCACTTTGGTTGAAGTATATATGATTGAATTCATTCAAATAATATTTTTGTCTCTAAATTGATGGTTTGGCTGCAATCGATTGATCAGAGATAACAGGTGTTGCATGTGTATATGTGTGGTGCTATGTCTTCATCACTTATTTAATGTAGTAATTTGCCTACGTCTAACATTACAACTACACTTAGTATAACCAAAGAAAAGGTGAGAAAATTAAAAAACATTTATTTTGAAAATTAGCTAAATTTTCTCACATATATGCTGTTATTTATTGTATAGTTCGATTTCTTTCGTCTTTATACACTAACATCCATACATACTCAACATTATACGAATTCATACATATATATATTTCTATATAACGGATAACCTTAAAGTTGGTATGCGACGAAGTGGTCTTACTACTTATGGCACTGCTTACGGTCCTCATTACGGTTACGGGGAGATTGAAAACTATGGCTCAACTTATCAATCTGTTGCAGGGGGATATCCATTCGGTTACGGTAGAACTGATGAACCATTGACGACAACAGTGGGGTCTCCTCTAGGTGGTTTAGGTATTCTTGGTCAACAAGAACTTCGTCGATATGGTCGTATATATCCAGTAGGCTTTAATCCAATGCTCCAACCCGGTTTGAGTAGATCTAAAGTTCGTGTAATTTTTGTGCCTAATCATGTATTAAGTGCATTTCAAAATTTACGTCAACAATACGGCGGCGGATTTGTAAATCCTTTCATTAGTAGTTTCAACCCTTTTATGAATGGTTACGGAGCACTTGGAATACCACAAATGATGCCACAAATGGCTATGTTTCAAGGACCAATGTCTCCAATGGGTTCGAATTGTTGCTCCATGTCATTTCAATTACCATCGATGGGTTCACAATTTTCTTCTAGCATTCCTTATCTTCCTCCAATGATTCAACCAGCTATGCCTCCAATGCCTATGCGTAAGAGAATTATTTTTCTTTTTTCTTATTAAATTAACACAAGTTCTTCTTTGATATATTAAAATTCAGTAAATTTAATTCTTAACCAAATGACATTAATATCTTATTGACATTTTCATTAAAATAAATTCTTTTTAACTTACTTGCCGATGATGCCATCAATGCTAAACTAACAATCAATGTGTAAGAAATGAACATTACTCATGTCTGATGGTATCCAATATTCTTTTTCGGACAATACTAATTCTAATTCAATAGAAATTTTCTTGATCGATATGTTTTCTTTTTTCACTTTTTTTAGCCTATCCACTGGTCATTCCTCAAATGCCCATTGCAACACCTTCAATGCGTAAGATTTATGCTTCTACCTATTATTTATTTTTTATGTATTAATAACGTTGCATATTATGTTGAATTCAAAGATATTAACGGAATAAAAATTTTTGTTTTTAAATATCTAACAATTCCTGCAATATATTTCACTTTTACTCTCACTTATTCACCTATTATGCTGCAAATATCGATTGCATCTTCTTCAATACATTAGAAGTACAATAAAATATTCAATACTAACATACATCATTTGTAATCTTCTGTAGTATGTTCTCCAATAATGCCTTCCATGCCAGTCGTTTCACCTGCGATGCGTAAAAAGTTCTCTCTGCTTATTATTCGTATGCTTTCGTTTACATTTGAAACTGATGACGATATAAAACTAATAATAATGATATTAACTAAAGTGTCTAATAATTGATTAAAATCGCTTTGATACTTTCACAGCTTGTTAACGCATGATGCTTTAAATATCATTTTCATTTCCAGTACCAATTATACATTAACAAGTGCCAATGAATGAGGTTTTTTTTTGCATCTTACACTGAAATAGCATTAATAATTAAACTGAAAATACAATTAAGATAAGATAGATCAAGTTGATAACATTTTTTACTCTTTTTAGCTTATTCACCACAAATATTTCCAATGGTACCACAACAAATAGCTTGTCCACCTCAATTTCCAATTATACCACAACAACAAATTTATCCACAGAGTATTCCTGGAAACTTCGGTGGAGCTCCATTTTATGGAGGTATAAGTTCATTTGTTAACAATTTCTGGAAGAGACGAATTGATTATCTGTAATTCTTAACTAATATAGGCTTTGGTCAAGGATTACCACTATGTGGGAATCTTAACAGCTACCGTGAATTTCCAAGTAATAACAAACTATATAGTTTTTTTTTCTCCACATTTGTATATCTCATTTCGTATTATAAAGGCATTGGTGATAATATATTGGCAAATTTCAGTGGAATGAGTCAGCTAGGACTCGGCCAATCAGCTCTTGCAGCATACGGTAATTTTGGTCAATCATCTTATGGTGTCTACGGGCATCCTGGATTTGGCGGATATAGTCCATATGGATTTCCACCATATTGTCAACCAGGATTCTCTAGTTACGGTCAACAACCTTTCGGTAGTGTCAATCAGTTAGGACTTAGTGGATTCCCACAAGTTCAACCGCAGTTCGGTAGCATTTACCCACAGCAACTATCATACAATACCTTTCCACAACAACCATACAGCTATTATCCAGGCGCTAATATCAACTTATCAAGTGGTCAATCCCCATTCAATGGTGTCTTTCAACCGGGTATTTTCCCACCAGCTAGCAACTTCCCTTCAATTAGTCATGCACAATTAGGATCATTTCCAGGCAGTTCTGGACGAGTATCCATTGTATGTTGTATTATCCCTCACTAGACAAAATCCACCGTTATCATGAGAGTACATAACGCAAGAAACTTTTGATTTATTTTTATCTTTATTTTCTTGTTATGACATACAGCTTTGTTTATGATATTCTTTCTACTAAAAACATATCAAAGGTCATGACTTCGACAGTGTTTTTTATTTATATAAATAAATGCTATTAGGCAAAGGACTTTTCTATTTTTAAACGAAGTATTTTTCTTTGAGCTGATTATCTTTTGTGCTTCGTTTTTTGTTGCATTGCCACATAGAATAAACGATTTTCTCTTCCCTCTTCTAAATTTTGTTGCTTTCTATTATTAACTATATTTATTTGTATGTGCACAAAAAAAGAATTAAGCAATTTTTTTATCTCTGCATATACATCCAGATTTTTCTTAGTAATCTTGATCCGTAATCTTTCTTTGAATTTTTTTTCGTAAATAATTACATTCATTTGTTTCATCATGATTTTTTTTCTTTTCTCCACATGGAACATATATTTGTAGGTTAAGCAATTAATATTTTGATTACATTTTTTAACAATTCAAAAAACAATAATTTCTCCAAGGACAAGAAAGGTAAATATAAAAATATTATTTTGTTTTGAAAATAATCTGGTGAAACTATGAACATAATAAAAAATAGAATTCGCAGCAGAAACTACGATTGAATTATTTTTTAGAGATAATGCAGATTAAATGAGACAAATATCATTTTCCTTTTTTTTATGGATCTCTCAGCTGTACTTTCACAAAGTCATTCAATAGAGAATTTTTCGCCGTGGGGAACTGTTTCGTTTGTTTTTCAAGTAGTTTTTCTTGTTGAAGCAAAATTTATAGTATGAGCATTAACTCAAACGTCTAAATATGATTTTCGATTTGCTGCAGTTATCTATCAATTTGTATAAATTTTTACTCTAAAACCTAACATAGTTAGCATCAATGGATAGAAAATTGTATGCTTCCCATTTTCACGACTTTTTCAAAATGCCTGATACTATCATTCATGAGAAAAAAGCTTACAACTAAAACCTACTAATATACTTCTATGCATGTTGCAGAAAAAACATGTTTTCTAAAGCGAGACTTAGTGTACGAAACAGTCATTATCGTACGGTCGGGCGTAGAATTTAATTGTGAAAAAAATGTTGTGACTTCTAATTTGAAGATTGCAAACGATTAGTTTGTGTGGAATTAAGATAAACACTTCTGTAACTCTGTCAGACATATTGTGTTTGTCATATTTTACTTCATGATTATTCTATTAAATATTTCTTCTAAAACTTTGAAATATATATATCAAAACATGCAGAATTTTGTAGCATATTTGATATTTCAATATAACGTTCTCTAAAAAAAATCTTATATCATTATTTTGCCCGTTATAGTTATATGATTGAGTAAGTGTTAAAATTTTAGATTTTTTTTAACAAGAAAAACACAAGAAACAATTTTGTAGAGCAACAAACTCTCTATCGAATGACTTTTAAAAGTACATCTAACATATCCGGAAAAAAAGGAAATAATATTTGTCATGTTTAATTTGCGTCACTCTTTATTAGCCAAGGTTATTCTCAAAAAAACTAAGTCAATAAAAAAGAAATTGATGTTGACTGTCTTTGAGTCAGCATTGTTCAAATCTATCAATTATATAATATAAATTAAATCAATCAAGTATATTAGTATTTAAAAAACAAAGCCAAGAAAATTCTACTGTATACATTCATTTTGATTTCTAATTTTCGTTTTTGTTTGATGTAGCTCAAAAATATCAACTATCAAATATGTTAAGCGATACTTCGGATGTTCCTTTTTGATTTACGTATGTGTTTTATCTATAAACCAGAACCGTATCAGATAGGAATCAATATTAATCAAGTGTAGATGTTAAAAAGGCATCGTTTCCGATTACATTTTTCTTGTCATCAGTGACAAATATCAAGTTTTCTTTTCCATAAATAATTTATTTAAAAAAAATTACTATCCATTACATAACTATATTATTAATTAATAACACGTACTCGATAATACTCCTTTCATAGCTTTTCTAAATAAATTATATTCTTTAACAAGAAAATGTATTTTACAAAAAAGAAATGGCAAATAAATGTTTTGTATTTTGTTTTTCTCTGTTCTATATACACTTTTTTTTCTCAGAAACTGAATACTTAATTAAATCGTTGACTTATTTCAATAAAAAAGGTAAAAGAACAAGAAACAATAGAAGTGTTGAAAGATCATATGAATCATATTTTCTAAATTTGTAAATATATTGAATATGACACTATACTATTGTCAATACATTTCAATAAACATTCAAACATTGAGGATTTCTTATGTTTTACCGATATCTAAATGGTCTTTGTCATGACATTAACATGAATTAAGTTTTTCTATATGCAATGAATAAAAAATGCAAAACAAATAAATGTCCCTGTTTCGTCATCTCTTCTTCTATGGTATCTATTTCTCTCTCTCTCTCTCTCTCTTCCCACTTTTTCGGCATCAACAAGTCTAGAACTTCATATAAAAAAAAAGAGAAAATGTAGAATAATATATTTTCTTTTTTTTTCTTTCAAGCTCATTTCAACATTTATTCTCATCTTCACTTTATCATTCATCAAGACCAAGTTCTCGTAAGTTTTACATAATCATATTTTAAGATAGTAGTATTCATCTTCACGAAGAAAAAAAGCGAGAATCCTTTTTATCTCGTGATTAATTATGATGCTAGCTTTTTGAACCGCGAAAAAAAACTGAATAATTATTATGTTTCCGATGTTTTTCATTCTTGCTTCGTTTCGACTGACATACAAAGCGATAGGATGAACAAAAAAGAAGAAAAGAAGCTTCCGTTTTTCTCGCATCTTTGTCCATTGCAATCTACTTTTTAATAATAGGAGATTCATCCGCAAAAAAGGAAACATGTCTTGACAGAATTCGACAGAAAACATTAGTTGATGTCTTATTCTAGTGATTGATGATAGTTAGGATATGTTCTGTTTTTTTTATAAATAACAATACGTAACATGTTTTCATTGCGAGAACAATTATATCTCGATTTATTCATATATGAATTGTATGCATTATGAAAAAGATAATATTGCTTACAGGTACACTATTCAAAATGAAAATTGTTATTGCGTCTTTTCTTTCTAAAACTATTAATTATGCAATACGATGGATTAAATATATGTGAATTATTAAAATCATTGACGTCATTAATATGAAAGAGATACTGGGGTTATCATATATAATGTTATATGAACATATGAAAAAGAAAAAAGACCTAAGAGAAAGTTTCCTAAGATGTTTTTCTCAGTTATATGTCATTTAAAATAGATTCTATTCTTTGTTTTTGTGAAGCCATTTTGATAATGTTCATGATGTTTCGCTTTCTTCTCTTTATGTCAATGTTTCATTTTGACAAGATCGAAGACTTCATGCAGAGAAAATAAACTTCATAGCTATGACTATTTATAGATCTAAATAGAAGAAGACAGCCATTTTTGTTGTTTTTCTATTTTTAGAATAAAATCAATCAATAGAAAAATGATCCGCCTTTCCCATTTTATCTTTGTTATGCTCATTGGTTTAAGCATCGTTATAGTCAAAAGTGATGTTAAATTTCGTAATATCCAACACAAAAGATTTTCTCGAAGCAATGAACAGATACGTACTTTACGTAATCTTGTGGGAAAATTAGTTGATAGTGAAACAAATGCTGTTTATACTATGGATGGAAAAAAACAACAAGGCATACCATGGAATTCAGGTGCGACGACAGTAGTACCATTATCACCTAGTCCACCACCTACTCCCGAAGAAATTGCGTGTCTTGCAGCATGTCAATCTTGTGTTGAAGATTATCCGATTGAAAGCGTAAGTTAATATATCCGAATAATATTCTAGTATCTAAACTATCTTTCTTTAGCGCAAGAAGAAATCAGCAAATAATTGTGGTCCAATGTGTGATTGTGCTGACAGCTGTTTTCGCATGCCAGTCCAGCAGGTAGAAAGAAAAAAACAAATCTCTGTTTTCTTGAATATTTAACTTATATATAAATATTTATTAGGTTGGTAAAATATATGGACAAAGGGGAAATACAGATTATGGTAAAGAATGTTGGTGGAGAACCTTTAGTGACATGCTCACCAATGATATGTTATCTTCGGCATAAACGATCATTGCTTGAAAGTATTTCTTTTTTTTTTGTCTATTTATGTCTCGTATTTAATTCTAAACATTTTTCACTATAATTTAAATATACACTTATGTCGCGCATAAATGCAATTGTCATGTTCTCAAATATTTGAATAAAAATCAGACATATAATATGCTCATATAACAAAAAGAAAAAAAAGAAAACTGTTATATATTAAAATCTTATAAACATATATATAAGTAAGTACTGATCTGTGATTCTTTTGTTTCTTTTATTTTACTTCATCATCACAAAATTGATTCCCAATTGTATAGATGAATAATCAATAGAAAATTGAATTTTATCTCTAAGGATCATATGATTATTGAAAAGAAAATAATTAATTTGAAATTACTTTATTCATACAAAATAAAATAATTTTCTATTATTTTTTCTTATCGTTTTCAATATCATCATTCAATTTCTAATGATATTTTTTATCATAAAATAAATTATTCTTACTAATGAATTTATTTTTAAATATATCGGAGAAAAATGTTTTATTGTTATAAATACATCAGAAGTATTTCATTTTTTTTAAAATTAATTAGAACTAATTTGTTTTTTCTAATAATAAACAAATAAGCAAAAGTGAACATGTTTTATCATGATCATTTACCATACACTTAGTTTTATCACGTTTTCTTTTTTTGATGTCAACTATATCTAAAAATGTCAAATAATAAGTAAATATCATGCATGATTTCTTTTGTATTCAATGTGGGGGTTTTCGACTTTTTATTCAGTATTAATCAGGTGAAAATAAATTAGATAGAATGAATTTATCATGCAGAAAAATATGTGT